CTCTCCACCCAGCCTCCCCAAGCCCTGATGTCGTCACATCACCTGGGGGCCTGGGGGTCCTTGTGCCAACTCCTGGCCTCCACTTAGCCTCTGTCCCAGTTCCCTAACTGCCGTCCTTACCACCAGCTGCCCCTTCCCAGTCCATGCTGCTCATTAGCACAGAGCACACTTGGGAAAACACCATTCCCAGCCCAGCAGAGCCCTTGTCAACTGGGGAAATCCAGCTGCTTAGCCTCATGCCCGAGTTCCTCCCCCATCCTCTAGCCTCCCTCCTTCAGCCATCACAGTCCACCCCGCCTCGACTCCAAACGGCATCGCATCGGGCATCTTCCTTAGGCACTGGCTCAGCGGCAAGTCTGAGTCATTGGTGCCCAGCACACAGACGGTGCTCAGTAAATGCTTGTCGACCCGACGTTAAGAAGCCCGGGTGGAGCACGCGTTAAGTGCTGAGCTGCTACCAGAAAGGCTGTTGGCTTCTCTGTGGGAGAAGAACAGGAGCTCTGCTTTTGTCTTGGAAGCCCCATGGGGGCAGTTCTGTTCTGTCCCAAAGGGTCAGGATGAGTTGGAATTGACTCCCTGGCACCAACCACCACCAGCCTAAATGCCCAGCTCCTATGTACCACTCACTGCTCCTGGATGAACAGGGAGAGGAGGGGGGTCAGGTCCGCGGACCCAGACACGGGGTGCTGGAGAGGCCAAGAACAGACAACCCAAGAGACAGGGGTGAAACCGAGCGAGCAGGGCCAGAGGTCAGAGGGGAGAGAGAGGGGAGAACCGTGAAAGAGGAGTCTGGAAGGAGGGATGGTCAAGCAGATGGGACCCCAGGGATCACACAGCAGGAAAACCAAAGAGGAGAGAAAGCGGATTGGCCAGGGCCTTTCTGTTAAGCAAACAAGGCCCCGAAGAGCTGTGTTTTGTCAAGCTGAACTTTCCGTATGGGGAAAGTTTATTTAGCTGAGCAACCAATTCTGGGAAAAAAAACACTGGAACGTGTTAAAAAGGAAGCGGGTGGGAGGAGAGTCAGACAAAACAAAGAGGAGAGAACATTTGTTGCCACTGGGAGACCTGGGCCAGGCTGCTGCGGGGCGGTAGTCCCAACCCTCACCCTCTTAGGCCGCTCACACAGGCCCTAGTTCCAGGGGGAGGAGGAAGAAGTGAGATCGTGCAAAGAAAATATCAAGTGTGGGGAGGAAGTCTGAGACCTGCAGGAGGGATGGGGAGGTGGGAGGGCCCCGGGAAACTCCTGATCACAACTCACTGGAGTTAAGACAAGTCGGACAAGGTTACCAACCAGGTGCCCCTCCAGATGCCCGCCAAAGGCCGGAGCCTCCTCAGGTCTAAGGAGCTGCCAGTGGGTGTCCTCGGCCAGGAAACCAAGCCAGGGAGTCAGGCCTGGTGCTCCAACGCTCCCCAACTGGCTGTGCGACCCAGACAAGGGTCAGTCCTCATTCCCTCCCTCGCACGCATGTGTGCACACACACAAACCCAAGCTACGGCGGTCCCACGTGTCGCAAAGGATTTCCAAAGCTGTGGTCTTTCAGAAGCCGGTCACCAGGCTTTCCGCCAAGGGACCTCCGGGTGTGTTCAAACTGCCAATGTTTCAGTTACTCATCTAGTGTTCAACCGTTTGTGCCAGCCAGAGACTCCTCACCTGTGCAAGGTGGCCGATACCCACCCTCAGAGAGGACTGTCTAGTGGCTTGCCTGGCACCCAGCTGGTGCTTCACAATGGCAGCCATCATTACTGTGAAGGGGACAGTCTGAGTGTGCCAGGAGCTTCCAATACATTGGAGACAGTGGACACGCACTGGAAGTGGCTTCAGGTACTTCCTGCCACATAGCTGGAGCCACACCAACTTAAAAACCCGATTCCAACACATAGAAACCCTACAGGACAGAGTAGAAGCGCTCCAGGGGGTTTCTAAGGCTGTCAATCTTTACCGGAGCAGACTGACCATTCTCCTGCAGATCAGAGAAGCTGGTGGGTTCAAACCGCTGACCTGTTGGTTAGCACCCAAGTGCTTAACCACTGTGCCACCAGGGCTCCTAGGGCCACAGAGGTGGGTGCAAAAGAGACCTCATCCTCTGCCCAAGTTCACCATTTAATGCTACAAAACCACACAGTACTCATGATTTGATTTTTTTTTATTTTCTGAAATGGAACCATTGTACATTGTACAAACCATATCTACTGATGGAATAAATAAGAAATCATACTGCTGTACAACACCCCAAAATAAAACAAACCTTAAGAGGAAAACAAATTAGGAAATGGTGAAAACAGGTCGTTATACCTCTCCCAGGTCCTTAGCGATTAAGAACGTTCCATGCCATTCCACCGTGTGATCATGGAGGTCACCCCCTCGAGGAGTCGGTCAGCTGCCTTCCGGACTATGGGTGTAAGTGCCAGCACTTTGTGGAATGTGTAGTCGCAGCTCTCCCCGACTTGGACTTCGGCAGGGAATGAGTTAGCCCTGGGAGCCCCTGAAGGCCATGGGGCCTGGTGTCCGTGGAAGGCGGGTGTTCACTTGGGCCCCCTGGCCTGGGGGCAGCCGGTGACGGCTTCGATTCTGCGGCGGGGAGAGGTGCAGGGTGCAGGGGGGGCGGGGGCGTCGGCTCCGCGGGCTGCGCGGGAAGGGAAGCATGTCTGGTTTTTGCAGTCTGATCATTCCACGCGGAAGGCCTTCGTGGCCAGCAATACGGACGGCGTGGCTGGCGTTCTGCTGGCCTGGCCGTGGTGGGGTCCTGTTGGTCCTGACCACGAGCCCATTCCTACCTTCAGGCACTTCAGAGAAAAACAAGTGACAGCCTCGGTACTGCAGGTGGCGTCTTCACCCTCAACGGTGCCAGCTCCCCTGGCCTGTCCGGAGGCCGCCGCAGACCAGAGGGGCAGGTGACCCTCGCCGGCTTTCCGTTTCTGTGGATGTGAGTGTTGAATTCTCCTTTAGCTCTCCAAGGTTACAACCTCTGGTTTCCCACAAAGAAAAGGAAACCGACCTCCAATTCCTCTTTCATCAAAAATGGAGTTTTGCTGCAAACAAAAATTACTCTAACCTACAGGGTCCAGAGGTAAAGCCACCTGGAGACGCGTTAGCAGCGAACGTGTCTGGCGTTTTTTATGTCAAGACGCAGAATTCGCTTCTCAACAGAGCTGACTGCCTGAGGGGGAAGATTGAGAAGTACAAGGATTATTTCTTTTCTTTTTTTTTTAAGACAGAAACCTTTCGGCCTTGCAAACTTCAACATTAAGATTTTCAAAGTTTTTTGTTTGTTTCTTATTTCAGGAGACATTTTGCGTGAGGTATTTGAAATTCAGGAACATTTTGATTCTTCTCGAAGTGCAGGAAATAGATTGGCTCCCTTCAAAAAGAAAGAAAGAAAGAATAATAATAATGAGAGCCTCACCCTCAGAAACTCTTAGAAAACGGATTCCGGCAGACACTCCCCGCGGTGGTCAGGAGGAAGATCCACACAACACAGGTGGTGCCTGAGCAATGCACCAATAAGCCAAGAAAAAAAAAAAAAAGCCACCAACAACACTGCCCCCCACCCCCGATAACACACAACTCAAAGGGAGTTAGAGCCCCACTGCCGCAAAGAATGCTTAGGAGAAGGCTAAGGTCCGAGGAGTCTGTAAATAATAATTAAGAGCAAACCGGGCCTCAGAACCACAGTTGGGCAGTTCGTTTAAAGAGCAGCTCCGTGTTTGCGAGAGGAGGCTGTCCCTAGGCAGGTGGGGACGGAAGCGGTGGCAGGGGGCTCCTGTCACTCCTTTCTGGAGAGAGTGCAGATCTTTCCGATCGCCTGGTGCCTGTTTGTGGCCTTCCAGGCCTGTCCACCAAGGCCCGCTGCCTGCTGGGGGCAGACGGCTAGTTCTGGGAATGAGCCCTTTGTTTGCTCTGAGAGTCAGGAACATGGAGCTGAAGCAAACTGGTTTCAGCTGCCTGCCATGGGTGGGAGGGCGGTGCCGGGCGATGGGGAGGCAGAGGGCGCGGGTTACTTGGGGTTTGAAACCCAGGCAACGTCCTAGGAGAAAGTTCAGCACCAGCTATTCCTGCGCTCTGTCCCCAGCTCGGGATGACTGGAAGGGGGCGTTCTCACAAGCCGGACAGAGAAGCCATGTCATCTTCAGAGGTCTGGGATGAAATGGTGACGGTGGGGAGCGTAGGGTGCAAGTGCCAGAAAAACCTAAGGGCTCCGAGTGTCAGTGTGGCTGCAGAGGACCTTGGAAACCCTGGCCACAGCTGTCCCAAGCAAGTGACGGCGTCTCAGGTACCTAGCCAGCCCTTGGGGACTGCACCCTGGCACCTGTGACTTCCAGGGCCCTGGAGGCTGGTGCTGGCCCCACCCAAGGCTCACCAAAGGCCTTGCACCTGGAGATAGACAGGCCAGGGGCTTCCCGCTCCTGGCCGGCCTCATTTCTGCTTCTCCTCCCTGCCTGCCCTGCTCCCTTCGAAGTCCCGGGGCAGCAGGGAGCTGAGAGATGAGACACCAAACCCAGCGGGCACTTTGCAAAGGGAGAAGCAAAAAAGAACCAGGAAAACAGGCCAGAGGTCACCTCAAGGGCACAAGGCACAAAAAAAGAAAGCGGACAGGACTGGCGGGACAGTGAGAAGCCCGGGTGGGAAGTGGATTCCGGGTGGGAACCACCTCCAATAGCTTATATCGTTAAATAGGGGCGGGGGGGGGGGTACAGCAGCAACACAAATGGAATCTTGGCTTCGGAGACAGTGTGCAGACAGACAGACGGACACTCCTGAGCGGTCGGCTCCCCCTTCCCAAGGACAGCAACTTAGAAGTTCGAGTGTTTTGCTTCACAGCGGAGTTCTTCAGGGGCTGAAAAGTGACGCCATTCTCGGTCTTCTGGGATTTGCACTTGGTAAACTTGAAGATTTAGTAGTTCTGTTCGTACCCAAGAGGGACCGCTTGGGGGAAGAAGTTCTAGAACAAGCCTGCTGACGTCGCTCCCGTGAGCGTGGGTCCGAGCGGCCCCGCCAGTGCCTACATCTCCTCGGCGTTCTGCTGAGAAGCTTCCAGTTTCATCTTTTTCGAGGGTGGCACTCCTTCCAAATCCTTCAGGGGAGAAGGAAGAAGGGAGAAACGCGGGTTAGAAAACACCTTTGGCCAGACGCGAGGGCAGACGCCACTCAGGAAGGCACCTGGGCGGCTCCAAGCAGGAGTCGGGATCATGCAGCCGGTGCAGGCACGTCGGGGGCTCACGGAACCTACGGCAACTTCGCCCCCAAACTCCGTCTTCTGTCTGGAAGGCTCTGGCTGTGTGCCCGGGCCCAGCCACCTGACTTTCCTCCGGGACTTCCAACCCGCCGCAAGTGTTGTCACTCCCGCCACTTCCTGTGCCTCTAAGCTCCCCCCAAGCCGCCCCGTCAGGTGTCCCTATTAACAACCGACCTTGCAGTCTGTAATTAACTACACAGTCACTGTTTGGCCACGGAGCCCCTGGGTGGCACAGACAGTCAAGGTGCTTGGCTGCTAACTGAAAGGTTGCACGTTTGAGTCCATCCAGAGGTGCCTCTGAAGAAAGGCCTGGTGATTTACTTCCAGACACCAGCCATGGAAGACCCCGTCTGCCCCAGCTCTAGAGCCACCTCCCTGGAGACCCTGACTGGCTTTGCTGTGTGGGCTGAAGTAGCTCCAGGACCCAGCCCAGGGCCCAGCATGGGGTGGACCCACAGAGTCTGCTCAGAAACGGAAGTACGTAAGCTAACTCATTGCAGTCAAATCGATCCCAACTCATAGCAACCCTTTAGGATGGGGTACAACTGCCCCATGGGGTTTCCAAGGCTGTAGATCTTCACAGAAGCATGCTGCCACAACTTTCTCCCATGAAGTGGTTGGTAGATTGACCTGCCAACCTTTAGGTTAGCGGCTGAGTGCTTTAACCACTGTACCACCGGCGCTCCTTGTATGTATGTTATTCTGGAGAAAACAATCGTCACCAAATTCCCCCAAAATTCCCATGACTTCAAAGAAGCTCATGCACTCACTCAGCCACCTCCTTCTTGACTTCCCCAGGTGGTTTGGTCAGGTAGCACAATCCTGACCTAGCACCCAACACCAAACTCTTGCCTTTACCCACCCTCCCCAGTCCTCCCTGACCTTCCCCATGGCTGGCACTAGCACCACCATCGCTCTGGGACAAGCCTTAACACTTGGACATGACCCCACGGCCTCCTTCTCTCTCCATCCCTCCCCAACATCCAACCTACTGGCCAGTCCCATCAACTCCATCTCTAAAACACTCTTGATTTTGCCCACGGCCACCTTCCACCCTCCGTCCCTACCATTTCTTGTCATCCTGCTGTCACTCGGCCTCTCTCAAATCCATTCAATGCAGGCCAAGGACCTTTTCACAACACAAACTGTACAGAAAACATTAAACCCTCTAGCACTTTCCTACTAAGGAGCCCTGGTAGCACAATGATAAGGCTCAGCTACTGAGCTGAAGGTTGGTGGTTCGAACCCACCCCATGGCTCTGTGACAGGAAGACCTGGCGATCTGCTCCCGTAATTACAGCTGAGAAAACTCCATGGGGCAGCTCTACTTTGTCACACGGGGTTGCTGTGAGTGGGAATCGACTGATGGCACCCAACACTACCACTTCCCCACTGTCCTCAGAGTGAAAACCAAACGCCTTCCCCTGCTGACCAGACCCTGGTGACTGTGGTCTAAGCCGCCCACCCGCTACCTCCCCTCAGTCTTCCCTTCTCTTCCTTGTCTGCGATGCTCCAGCCCCGTGTTCATGTCTGTTTCATCGTCTCTGTGCCTTTGCTTCCTGAGGCCTAAAAAGTTGGCCTTCCCACCCGATTCCTCGCCCCTCACATTCCCGCCCACAGCCAGTTCCTCTCAGCCCAAGCGCTCCAGAACCAGCTCCCAGCTTATCACGCGTCCTGACACCCTCCTGTTCCTTTCTCTCTCGGCATTCACTGCAATGTGCGACTGTGACCCAACTGTGTTTCTGCTGGACGCTGGCTGACCCCTGGGCCCCGTGTCCCTCAGCATAAGCCATGAAGGCAGGGAGGGACGTGTGTGCTGGGTTCACCCTGTACCCCTAGTGGCCAGTGCTTGGTCCACACACAGTGGGTGCTCACTCAGTGCTCGGTGGGGCACACTGGGTCCGTGAGAGTGAGAGGAGGACACGGGTCTCTTTCAGCTGACCCTGAGGGCATGATGGCAGGGAGGCAAAGCCCCCTGCTCTTTCTTCTCTTCTTTCTCAAAGTGACACACGCTCGGTGCAGATGGAGCCCAGGGTGGACATGTGCAGTGGACATCCCCATGTTCTGTGGACCAGCAGGACAGGGCTGGGGCCTGATGGGGGTGGAACCTGGAGCCCCAAACTGTCCTGCATCATGGAGGGAGAATGCCCAGCTCCCCGGGCAACACAGAAGGGGGAGGGCAGGAGATGGGGGGTGTGGGGAGAGGAGAGAGGCAGGAGCCCCAGGTGAGGCAGGAGTTGAGAATGTGGTAGGAGCTGCATGGGAGAGAGGAGGTGAGAACGAGGCAGGAGCCCCAGGTGAGAGGCCCAGGAGGACCCACCAGGAGCAGAGCCAGGGAAGCCTGGGGTCGGGGCAGTGGGATGTCTGACCTTCAACGTTCCATGTTTTGCTTCACGGCAATGGACCCAAGAACTCTGCAGGCAAGCGTGTGTCTGTGTGTGCGTGTCTATGTGAGTGTGCATACATTAGTGTATACATGTCAGTCTGTGTGTACACCTGTGTGAACGTGTATCTGTATGTCTGTTTCTGCATGTGCATGTATGTACATGGCTGTGTAAGTATGTGTGGTGTGTGTACTTGTCAGTTTGTGTATGTGTGTGCATGCATGGGTGCACGTAAGTATGTCTTTATGTACATCTTTATGTGTATACACGTCTCTCTACACACTGGTGTGTCAGTGTGCACTGTGTACATGTATATGTGTGTGTCTATGAGCATCTGTGTGTGTGCGCCCATGCACGTACATGTGTCTGTGTGTGCACATTGGGTGTGTGTGTGCGTGTAGGTATGTGTATCTCTGTAGGTGTGTGCGTCCTGTTAAAATGGTGGAAGGGGCCCGGGCGTTACACAGTCTGCATACACGAGGCTCTGATTTTGAGTCTTTTTCACCATATCGACTCCTGCTGTCCCATCTGTCCCATGACTGGCTTTTCTTCACACAGGAATGCTCGCCAGGACCTGGAAGGGTCACACGCTCTCCCTAACAGCTTTATGTGGCCCAGCACTGAGGTGAGCAGTGTGGGTCGTGGCCCAGCTGCTAGCACCCACTGCAAACAAGCCTGCAATGCCCCATTTGTGTACTTGGGCGTCTGCAGGCTCCCAAGGAAGTGGTTCCCAGAAGGGAAACTGCAGATCAAATGGTGGTTTTTGAGTTTTCAGGTGCCATCTAGTCAACTGACTCATAGTGACTTCAGGTGACAGAGTAGCACTGCCCCACAGGGATCACAAGGCTGTAATCTTTATGGAAGCAGTCTGCCTCATCTTCTTCCTGTGGAGTGGCTGGTGGGTTCAAACTGCTGACCTTTCGGTTAGCAGCCAAATGCCTTAACCACTGTGCCACAAATGAAGACAGTTACATGAGCTGATGGCTGGACGCCTCTGAGTCTCACGATGGAGAATGGTCACAGGGCCACTCTTTCTATGTCAGCCTAAGTGTGTCACCCACATTCTCTCATCTGATCCTCAGCCTGGCCTCCCAAGACATAGTCCCATGAGCCCCATTTTACAGCCAGGTACACTGAGATGCTTACTGCCCAGCTACTAAGTGATGGGACAGGGCTATGATGTGACCCCAGGCCCGAACCCAGTGTGTGTGCCCTGAACCGCCAAGCCACCCTGGCTCAGACCCCACCTGACCGGTCATCAGGACCCACAGGGGGCTCCGAGCAGGGGACCAGGGCCAGTCGCAAGATTCCAGCGGGTCAGACAGGGTTTGGATTTCTGAAGGTTTGTCTCCCAGCACAAAGGAAACCCCTGTGGGTCTTGGAGACCGGGCAATGCTCTTGTGGTCCCTCTCCCTACACTGGGAGCTCCGAGGCAGGGCCTGTGTGTCTTGGGTGTCACCTGAGCCCTGGGGAGACCCAGGACAGACACACACCATAGTGCTCAGAGGAAATGAAGGTCCCAATGAAACCCTAAGGGGCCTGTCAGTTCTGGACAAGAAGCAAAACAAAACCACGCAACGCCTTTCAACGTACCCCCGACACCCCAACAGGCTCCCGGCTGGGCTGGCTGCCCCTCTGTGGCCTCAGCCGAGGTACCTGAGACATGGCTGACGTGTCTGTGGTGAGACCCGCGTCCCCTGATGGCTGCCTTTCCACTCTCTCTGAACTGTTCATCGAGTTTTCCAATGAAGACTGTGAGTTCTGCTCGTCGGAGGCATCTGAGGAAGAAGGGAGACGACAGAAGCTGTTTTCAGACACATGAGAACCAGAGCCAGATGGGCCACGTACTAAAAATACCTGAAAGTGGGTTGTTTTGGGGCCCTTGGTCTTTTAGGGCTGCAACGGGCAAGGCTTGGGAAGCCTCTTGTTATTACAATTTTTAAATGGTTTTATTGCAGTAAATATATACATATAACAAAAACTCTGCCAACGCAACATTTTTTTACACGTACAGTGTCCCTGGGTGATGCGAACAGTTAGACGCGCGTCTACGAGTCGAAAGGCTGGTGGTTTGAACCCAACCAGAGGCACCTCAGAAGCTCGGCCTGGTGCTCTGCTTTCTGGAGGTCACAGCATTGAAAACGCTGTGGAACACATTCTACGTCATAAACGTGGGGCTGCGTGAGCTGGAGTTGGCCAGAGGACGATCACACCAGCACCACGATTCCGTGTCATTGGTTGTGTCCACCGTGTTGGGCAACCATCACCACTCTCCATTTCCAAAGCATCCATGACCAGTGTCAGAAACTCGGTGCCTCCGAAGCTGAGCTCAGCTCCCTCCCACTTCCCTGAGAACCACCAATCAACTTTGGTCTCTGTCACCGAAAACCAGACCACACCCACTGCCATTGAGTCCATACGTGTTGCTTTGAGTCACGGCCACCACACACATTAAAGAGCAGACCTGCTCGATAGATTTCTTGCCTAGTTCATACGAGTGGGATAACCTAACGTTTGTCTTTCTCTGAGCATTTTTCCCAGTTCTGGAATATTTATTTCTATATTGCTTGTGTATGATGAACCAGTATATATTTTTTCTTCAAATTTTATTTTGTTGTTGTTGAGAATATATGCAGCAAAACATGCACCAGTACAATAGTTTCTGAATGTAGTTTAGCACAATGTTCAGTAATGGTAGCTGGGCACCATCCAGTTCTTTTGGTCTTGTGGCAAAGGAGCAGTTGTTCATGGAGGCAGTTAGCCACACATCCCATTTCCTCCTCCTATTCCTGACTCTCCATGTTCCTCTGTTGCTCCAGGTGAATAGAGACCAATGGTTGTGCCTTGGATAGCTGCTTGCAAGCTTTTAGACTCCAGGCACTATGTAACCAACTAAAAAACAAACCAACCAAACTCACTGCCATCAAGTCAACCCGACTCACAGTGACCCCCTTTGGGTTTCTGAGGCGGTAAACCTTTACGGAAGTAGATTGCCCAGTCTTCCTTCTATGGAGTGGCTGGTGGGTTTGAACTGCCAACCTCTTGATTAGCAGTCAAATGCCTTAGGCACTACGTGACCAGAGCTCCTTACACAACAGACCAGGAGGTAGAATAAAACATGCTATTAAGCCAATTAACTGGGTTGGCCCATGAACCATGACCTTAAACCTCCAAACCAAGGAACCAAATCCCACGAGGTGTTTGGCTGTGCATAAGCAGGTTCAGCAGCTCCTTTTTTTGGTCGTGTTGTAAATATAGCTATCGCACCACTTTTGACAGGTGGATGACTTATTGACAGCAATTATAGTAATCAGCTGTGCAATGCTACCCTTAACCAATGTGATTTTTCCATCACTGCTAACCCCTCTTTTCTCCCTCCCTCCTGCCTCTGGTAATCACTAATAAAGTGGGTCTATGTCCATCTGCCTTTTCTTTTTATATATAAAAAGGGGGTTATACAGTATTTGTCCTTCTGTGATTGGTTGATTGCACTCAGCATAACGTCTCCAGCTCCATCCACACTGCACCAAGCATCAAGACTTCACTTCTCCTCCTGGCGAAGGAGTGTTCCATTGTACACGTGGACCACATCCTCTTTACCATTCATCTGTTGATGGGCATTTAGGTGGTTTCCACCTTCTGGGTATTGTGAACAGTGCTGCAGTGAACATTGGTGGACAAGTCTCTTTTTGAGCGTGCTTTCAAGTCTTTTGGGAGGAGTATAATTGCTGGGTCATGTGGTTGCTGTATTTTTAGTTTTCTGAGGAACTGCCACATTGTTTTCCACAACGGCTGTACCATATTGCATTCCCACTAGCAGTGGTAAGGTTCCAATTTCTCCACATCCTGACAACATGTTATTTTCTGCTTTTTTTTTTTTTTTTTTAAATAATCTTAGCCATCCTAGTGTCTCTTACAATTTTTTAGTGAAGCTCTTTCAACCAGCCAGGCCACGGGTTGGACCGGGGGTCTCCCACTCTCTTGTGCACATCCATTACTCTTCTAAAGAAAACTAAGGGAGCAGCACCAGCCTCCTGTGCAGCTTGCCTGCAGCGCCCTCTTGTGGCCCCAATGCATTCCAACAATCATGGCTGCCGAGTTCCTCTCCCTGTTTCTCTAAAGAGCCTGCCTTCTCCTTGGGGAGCTCTCAGAGGTAACTGGCTGGCCCTTCGTAATAATTTTTCTTAATGACATGGGTCTTTTTCTGAATGTTAGAACAATGACTGATCTTTGCCAGAGACAGAAAACATGAGAGGAATATAGAAAATTAACCTCACCTATTATCTGGTGGTGCAACAGTTAAGCGCTTGGCTAGCAACTGAAAGGTCGGGGGTTCAAATCCACCCAGTGGGTGCACAGGAGAAAAGACCTGTTGATCTACTTTTGTGAAGATTACAGCCCAGAAAACCCTATGGGGCAGTTCTCTGCTGTCACACGGGGGTTGCTGTAAGTTGAAATCGACCGGAAGTCACCCAAGAACACAACGCACAACACCATTTTGTAACTCCCATAAACATTCTGGAGACTGTCCCCCAAATATTTCCAGATTCCCCCCCACACTCATATAACTCTCTCCTCTCCCGGAGGAGGGCCATTTGGTGTTTTGGAAGACATTCTTGTGTCTTTAAAGTCTCTAAACACAAGAGTGAGAGTGCAAGATGGCTGCAGACGCCTGGAGCCGTCCCTACCAGGCCACGCCTCCAGGTGGTCCTGTGTTTGCTTCTTGTGCCTTGGTTTCTTCAGAAGAAGCAGGTGCAGCTGCAGGGTGGGGGCAGGAAGCAGTGAGGGTTTTACCCGAAGCTTGCTGGGTACAAAGCCAGACGGCTCAGAAAGCAAGTGGCAAACCTGCCAGTGGCACTCAAGGGCCCCGCGGCACGTGGTAGCCTGATTTTTAAAAGCCTCCTAACATAACACTGCACCACCCGTCCACCAGCGTGTCACACAGCTGTAGCTAGTGTGTCACTGTGGTGCTGGAAGCTGTACCACTGGGATTTTAAATACCAGCAGGGTCACCCACGGTGGACAGGTTTCAGCACAGCCTCCAGGCTGAGAAACCAGAAAGGCCAGGCAATTTTGAAAATCAACCAATGAAAACTCTACGGACCACAACAGAACATTTACCATAGTGCAGGATGCACTCCCTCGGGTGGAAGGCAAACACGGACACACACATGTCAGAGGTCAGGAGGATGGCGTGGGACTGGGAACATTTTGTCCCATCGTACACGGGGTCACCAGGAGTCGGATCAACTCAACGTCCACCGCCACCACCAATGACACTAAAGAGCCAGACAATCAGGACTCACTTGCAGGTGCTTCTGAGTCAGAGATGTCTCATGGGGTGAAAAGCCAGGCTGGAGTTGAAAAGAAGGGAAGCAATGGGGGGAAAGACGCCCTGATGGCTCAATGGCTAAAGCGCTTGGCCACTAACTGAAAGGTTGGTGGTTCACTCCCACCAGCCGCTCCACGGGTGAGAAGACCTGGTGATCTGCCCCCATCAAGACTATAGCCTAGGAAACTCCAGAGGGCAGTTCCACTCTGTCGTATGGAGTTGCTGTAAGGCGGAATCGATGCAACATCATGAAACAACAGTATGGGGAAGTCAGGTGCTGTCCAGTTGAGCCTGACTTGTGACAGCACATGTGTGTCAGAGGACAATTGTGCTCCACTAGGTTTCCATAGCTGATTTTTTTTTTTTTAAGCAGACAGCAGGTCTTCTTCTGAGGTGCCTGAGAGGACCCGAACTTCCAACCCTGGGTGCTGTAAAAGGTTACTAACTGAAAGACTGGCAGTGAAAAGTCAGCCCTTGACACCTCAGTGGCACATAGTTCTCTCACACTCGTGGGGTCGCTGTGAATTGGAGTTCACTCAATGGTAATTGGTTTAATATGGGGGAGAATGGCAGCTCCCCCAGGCTTGAGGCAAGATGAGGGGCAGAAGGCTGGGGGACAAGGCAGGTAAAGCTGCAAGAGTCCCTTCCCAAGGGGGTGGTCCTCCCAGCACTCCCTGCCACTCACCAAACCAGCGCCCACCGACCCTACATAGTGCCAGGAGACCCCCACCTGCCCTTGAGTTGCTTTCAGCATGGAGCTCTGAGCTGGGACTTCCTGTCACCACAGTGAGGGTCAGGGCTCCATCTCACACTGCAGCAGAGGGGTGCTGGCCTTGCCAGACCTGTGCGACATGGCGAGGAAACAGATCTGGGCTCGGATCCCGTTCCTGTCACTCAATTCCTCAATCTCAGAATCCCCCTCTGCAAAACCAAGGCTGCTGCAGGGCCCCGTGGGGTGACGGAAGCATCTTGGATCCGTGTCATGGCTGCGCCACACTGTGGCTGTACTAAATGCACTGGATAGCTCCTTTTAAAGGGGCTGATTTTTAAGTTATGTGAGCTTGCTGTTGTTGTTGTTGTTATGTGCCGTCGAGTCGGACCCGACTCATAGCAACCCCTCCTTGGGTTTCTGAGGCGGTATCACTACGGAAGTAGATTGTCCAACCTTCCTTCCGAGGAGCGGATGGTGGGTTTGAACTGCCAGCCTTCTGGTTAGCAGTCAAGTGCCTTAGGCTACCTCCATTTAAAAACAACAAGAAACAATAATACAAGGTTGACCATCCCATGCTGCAGAGCGGCTAAGTGTTAAGTGGAAAGGCATGAAAAGCAACCAAACAGCAAAACGCCCCCAGGTAGGGAGCAGCCCCAGGCCATCAAATCGGTTCTGACCCACAGAGTGGAACTGCCCCAGAGGATCTTCAAGGCTGTCAACCTTCACAGAAACAAAGCCCAAACCACACCCACTGCTGTGGAGTGGATTCTGACCCACAGCGCCCCTAGAGGACAGAGTGGAACTGCCCCACAGGGTCTCCAAGGCTGTCAGTCTTCACAGAAGCAAAGCCCAAACCACACCCACTGCCATCGAATCCATTCTGACTCACAGCGCCCCTAGAGGACAGAGCAGAACTGCCCATAGGGTTTCCAAGGCTGTAATCTTTTGCCTCATCGTTCTTCCATGGAGTGGCTGGTGGGTTCAAACATCCAACCTTTCAGTTGGCAGCTGAGTGCTTAACTACTGTGCCACTAGGGCTCCTCAGAAAGGGTATAATGGAGGGGTGAACTGCCCCAGAAGCCAGGAATTTCTTTGATGTTTTAGTTTTACCTTTAAAATCCATGTTGACATCACAGTCTCCTTTATAACACACATGTTTCTTTAACATACATGTTCAGAAACTTAATTGGCCTTCCAGAACTCACACCACACCTGTGGCTTAGCCTCTCTGGGGACCCCAGTTCCTTTCCTGCCCCACAGAGGTGGCTCTGCAAAGTGGAGAGAGAGGCAGGAGCTCCACTTGGGGGACGAAAGCCACGAAGGTGCTGATCTCCAGAGTCCCGCTGAGCCTCGGTGGCCAGAGAAATCCCAGCCGAGGCCTGGCCTGCGAGCTGCCGCGCCCTCAGTGGGAACCGGCCTCGGAGCCCACAGAGCCCGGAGCTCGCGGGGTGCCCAGTGCTCTTAGTGTAATGGTGCTGGAACTCACCCAGGCTAAGTGACTTTCCCAGGGCCTAAATTTAGTCCCGGGAACTTGGACTTTACATCACTCTCTGAAGTCACTGCACAGTAAACAAGTTCAAGGCAAGGTCAACGGCTGGTGGCCAAGCTGCCTCCCAGCCGGCCAGGTACATCCACCTGGGCAGACTGTGTCGGGGTGGGCCTGGCCCATTGTGGTGGCCCTACCTGGGGAATGCTGGGTACCATGGACTTGGGGTGGCAGGAAGAGGCCCCTGGGGTGGCTACCACCTGCACCTTGGGGCTGGGGGTGACAGTTACCAGAGAGTGGTGGTTATGGCCACACTCACCCCAAGCGTAACTCCTGTGGCCAGGCTTTTCCTGTCCCTTGAGGGCAAAGGAGACCCAGACCCCAAACGTGGGAGAACCGAGGCTACAGGCAGAGCGAGACGAGGATGGGAAGAAGCAGGAAGTAGCCTCGCCCAGCCTCTGCCGTCCACATGTGGGCCACTCCCCCCATGGAGTCCATTCCCACGCACCAGACTCGGCCGAGCCCCCACATGCTCTCCTGCTGCTCCGTTTAGCAACCCAACAAAGGAGGTAGTCTACAAATAAGGAAACGGGGCTCTCAGTGGGGTGCCTACCCAGGGACCTCAGGGAGGTGGGGCTCGGGACGGTGTGACCTCCTGCCTGTGTCCACAGCCCCTGTCCCACCCTCCCTGCCCCACGGCCTTCCACTTGCACAGGGACATCACCAGGACGGAAGCTGGGAAGTCTGGCTGTGCCTGCGGGGCGCACACGTTCCCTGGGCATGAGGAAAAGGCTGTGTCCAAGCCACCAGGTCATGGGGCCTCAGCAGGGGGGGCTGTGACCCCAGTGGACATTTGGCAACACCCAGAGCCATGCTTCAGTTGTCACAGTGGGGGGTGGTGTGAGTGTGTGTGTTTGTGTCTGTGTGTGAGACACTCACCTAGGGGGTGGAGGCCAGAGACGCCGCCAACAACATCCCACAAGACACATGCCAGTTCCAACAGGGCCACTGAGGCCAAACCATCGCTAGTCGCAGGCCCTGCTCTGCAGGGGAGGGTCACGCTGCCAGCCTCCCTGGAGGAAAATGTGGCAGGACCTATCACACTGTCAAGTCACATGCCCTCTGCTTCCAGGAAGCCTCTGCAGATCCAACCAAACCCTCAAAGATGCAGAGATGTGTGCCAAGGGTCGTAGGCACAAAATAAAAGAGACTGGGAATGACCAAACGACTGTTGGAGGGAGGCCGGGATCTTGCGCAGGGCCAGGGCGGGTGGCGTGTGTAGGAGGGAGTGGGATGGAGGCAGACAGACTGCAGCGTGGGATGACCTTTCCCTCTGAGCACTGGGACCCCTGATCTAGGCCAGGCCCCTCTCCCCAACATGACAGATATCCATCAATGCGCCAAACCTATATATGGCCCCAGCCTGGACCTCCGTCCTGCCCCCTGAACTCCAGCCTCAACATCCAACCGAGCCCTGGACTCACCTGAAGGCTCTACAGTGTTCGTCACCAGCCCACACAGACCCCCACCCACCATCTTTCCCATCACAGACGACGGCAGTGCTGCCTTTCCAGGCACTCAGAGGCGTGATCATGCCCCCCTGCTCACACCCCACAGACAATCCCTTCAGCCACACTCTCACCTCCACCTGCAAAACAGACCTGGACACCAGGCAGTTGACAATTACTGTCTATTTTCTTAGGCGAGCTGGTACTATCAATGGTTGTGTAGGAGAATGTCTTTACTTTTAAAAGATGCAGGATGACACATCACACCGTCTACAGCTTACTTTTAAATGGTTTCAGAAAAAAAAAGTTTATAGACAAAGCCAAACATCTATGTTAACAGTTGCTGAATCAGCTGATGGGTATATGGGAGAACATTATACTACTCTTTTAGCTTTTCTACAATATTTGAAATTCATCAAAAGAGCCTAAAACCAAAGGTTTAGATATGGAAGAGAACTTTCTTTGCTGGTTACCAGGTGTGGGAGGGGAGTGGAGGGAACACTGGGGAAAAAAAAAAAAAAAAGCATTGACCCATGTCATATTAGTTTTGTGTATTTCACTGTATATAAATTATATTTCAATAAAATGCATTAAAAAAAAAAAGAGTCTAAAACCAAACCCACTGCCATCGAGTCAGTTCTGACTCATAGCAACCCCCACTGGGTTTCCAAGGCAGTAAATCTTTACAGAAGTAGTTTGCCTCACCTTCCTTCTGTGGAGTGGCTGATGGATTTGAACAGGTAATCTTCTGGTTAGCAGTCAAATGCCTTAGGCATTGTGCCACCAGAGCTCCTTTTTGGAGCTTAGACACCACAAAATAAACAAACACACACATCCCCCAGAGTCTGGCCACTTCTTACCATCCCCTCTGTTTCCATTTTGGTTCAAGGTGCCATCTTCTCTCACTTGGATGACTCTATGAGCCTCGTTCACTGCTGTCCCTGTTTCCACCATGGCCTCAATTTTGTCTGCTCTCAATCAGAGCAACCAACCCAACCCTTCAGATCATGTAGCTCAAATTCCCAGTGACACCCGTGTCATGTAGAAGCCCATGTCCTTGCTGTGGCCTTATAAGCTCCCCACACTCCAGCCCCGTCTCCTCGGAGATCTCATCTTACTCTTAGAGCCCTTCACTCACCCTTCTCCAACACACCAAGCACACTTCCATCTCAGGGCCTCTGTTCTCATAGCCCCCTCTGCCCACTACACTCTTCTCCCAGACGCCCACATGGCTTGCTCCCTCACCTCACTGAAGCTTCGTTTATTCCAATGTCACCTTCCCCGACCACTCTACTTAAAGCTGCAATTAAAACTGTAACCAACCCCATTACACAGCAAGACTCCTCATGCCCCTTCCCTATTGCATAACTCTCCACAGGACTCATTTTCCAGATACCAGATTATAGGGATCTTTAATGTCCCCCACGAAAATGTAAGCTCCACATGTTATTGTTCTTCACCCCCTTCTATGGCCAGCATGGCCTGGACCTCCAGAAGCAGTGGTGGAAGTGATCAGCAAAGACTCAGGGTGGAGAAGGCCCCCTGAGCCCAGCCCTGCAGGACACATACCTTCTGCCCCGGCGTGCTCCTTCCCGTCAGCCTGGGCCTCATCCACCTTGGCTTCCACCCCGTCACCAGGCACGGCTGAGTTGGGTTCTGGAGCTGGGCTAGAGTTACTGCTGTTCTCCTGTTTGATGGGGGAGGCATCTGCTATGGAGCTCTGGTTGCTGTTGTCGTCTGCATGGGGGACAGAACCATAGATGAAATCCCACCATCTGCTACAGGAACGTGGATGGGGGGGCCGCAGCTTTCTTGCACCTCAGTGTCTGGAGCCCCACAGGATGTTCTCCTTGTAGGGGCCTAGACACTTCTTTCTCCTGACACTTCTCAGCTGACTGCACCCAGGGCCTCACCTCTCTCACATGGCTCATGAGGAGAGCTCAATGCAGCTGTCCAAGGGGCTCCTGTGTTTGGAGGCTAGAGATGGTGGCCCAAAATCTTTGGGGGACACTTGAGGCATATACTTCTGGGTAGAGAAAGCAAACATCATGTATACCTGGCTGTAAGGTAATAGGAAGGACACCCAAAAAAAAAAAAAAAAAAAGCTAAAAGCAAAAACCAAACTCACTGCCACTGAGTCAATTCTGACTCACAGTGAACCCCCGTTGGGTTTCCGAGGCAGTAAATCCTTACAGAAGCAGATTGCCCCATCTTCCTCCCGTGGAGCAGCTGGTAGGTTAGAAGTCAAATGCCTTAGGCATTACACCAGAGCTCCTTTAGGAAGGACACAGTAGGGCCCAAAACGTTCCACCAGAACCTCGTCAAGCCTCCAGACAGACATTACAAGGAATAAAAGAGAGAAAGGGACACTTCAACAACAGAAGGGCGAACATTCCACAGGCCAGGTAGCCCAGTATCTTCAACAAGTCAATTTCACTAAAAAACAATAATAAATAAAAAGAGGGGAGAGGAAGGAAAGCTATTGTAGATTACAGAAACGTAAGATCCCTAACCACTGAGTATGATGCGTGGACCTTGTTTAGACCCTGTTTTGAACACAGCAGCTGTAAGAGACATTGTGGGACAACCAGGAAATCTGAACATGGTCTGGATCTTAAAAGGAGTCCAGGTAGCGCAAGCAGGAATACGTGTGCCTACTAACCAAAAGGTTGGCGGTTCAAACCCAGCCAGAGGCTCCTTGGGACACAGGCCTGGTAATCTGCTTCCAAAGGCTGCAGCCTTCAAAAGCCCATGGAGCAAGTTGAACTCTGCACATGTGGGGTCGCCAGGAGCAGGAGCTGACAGCCAATAATGACAGATGCATTTTAAAAGGTGGGAAGGAATTGTTAATTCTGTTAGGAGTGATCATGGTAGTGTGGACATACAGAAAACGTCATTCTTGAGTGCAGACTTAAATACTGCACTGTGAGGAAATTCCTGTAAAAAACTATAGCATAAAACAATAAATACACAAAATAATAAAATAGTACAGTGCAGGCCGCGTACCACTGTCAGACCGACTAAAGTTTACACTCAACAGCTAGGCGTACTCTTACGCACATTTTGACGAAAACGATGTCACACATTTAGATAACAGATGAAGCACTGTAGATGATGCTAACCAAAATCTAGGCAGCGGGCACGTGGGAGCGCAGGATACTATTATCTGCGCTGATCTGCGTGTTTGGAATTATTCATAAGAAGAAAGAAAAAGGCAGGGAATTAATTGAACGACGGCATTAATAGTTGAGCTTGTGTTGTCACACAGAGCTAGCCAGTCGGGGGTACGTTATCCCACGCCCCGGGTCCTCTTTCTTGGGTTCAGAGTGCATTTTTGATTGCTTATGCCCATGTGACAAGTTCAAACTCAAGGTCACAATCTGAGGCTGCCTTTCTGGGTCGACCAAGGTCATTTTGGTAAAAATGGTTGAGTGGAAGCCGTGGGCCAACCCGTCCTGAGAACCTACTGTGTGCCAGGTTACTAGCTTACCAGGTTACCAGGCCAGGCTCAGACAGTTAACTCGGGAAACAGGAGCACCGCCTTCATTAACACAACTTGACTTGCTGGCTGCTGCTACCAAGTCAAGCCCCACCACACCAGAACAAAACGCAGCCCAGGGCTATGCCAACCCCGTGGTCGACCGTGGTCCCGTAGGATCCACAGGATTCCCACTGGGAGGTTTCTAAAAGTAGATCACAGGCCTTTCTTCTCCATGTGTTGGTCTGTTCAGCATTGTGGTAACACATAAGCTTCCACAGACAGACGGCTAGTAGCTGCCCATGAGATGCTCTGGCTTAGAATGGAAACCGATCTCTCACAACGGGCCCTATATTAGTGTTGCAGGGCTGCCGGAACAAATGTCGCCAGCCAGGTAGCTCCTAAGAACATGAATTTCCTGTCTCGTGATTCTGGAGTCTGAACCAGCGTATCGGCAGTGTTGATTCCTTCTAAGGACCAGGTCCTGGGTAAGAACACTTGCACACATCTCTGCGAATCCTACCAACAACCCAGCAGGAAAGCAATGCTACCACCCTCACTTTACAGAAGGCAACTGAGGCCCAGAGTCCTTGAGCCCCTCGCTCAGGCTGGTCTGCCCCACTCGGATCACTGAGTCTTTCTCTCCTTCCACCTGCCAAGGGAGCGCCATGCAGCCACAAATGGGTAAAGTGGATCTTAGTTTAAGTATACTCTGGGGCCCCTGTTACACAAAAGCTTCCTCTTGTGAATTCAGAAGCTGAAAAAAGAAAAAGATGTATGCAATCTTGATCTACCTTTCAAGAAAATCTAAACTATTCTCCGCCAAGGTGTGTGTATGCACGTGCATATGTGGGATGGCCAGCAGAAGGCTCAACCCTGTGGATCCCATTATAGACTGAACTTGACCCCCTAAAACTATGCTGAAGTCTTAACCCCTATACCCACAAACATGACCCTGTTTGAATATAGGGTCTTGAAGATGGTATCTGTTCGGTGAAATGAGGTCATACTGGAGTAGAGAGGGTCCTAACCCCACGTCAATGGTGTCCTTAGAGCAGAAGAGACAAAGACAGACAGAAGGCCGCCACGTGAAAACGCAGGTACAAGCCAAGAACACTTGGAGTGGCCAGAAACTGGGAGCTGGAACAGATTTCTCCCCAGACCTCTCAGAAGGGGTCATGGCGGCTGACACCCTGACTCGGACGTCCATCCTCCAGAACCGTGAGGCGATGAATGTGCTGTGTGAAGCCATCCACTTTGTGACAGTCCAGGCAGTCCCCAGGTTACAAGGATATCCTACTTACAAACAAACTGTAGTTATAAACAACCCCTGCAGAGCCTATTATATTAAAAACTTAAGGTACATACAACAGCTTGTGATTACAAATGGGCACTACTTGGCAACATGCACAAAACACTATCGTTACTGTATGATGTTAAAGACGTTTTAGTGTATCTGAAAGTCTTTAAATTTTTTTATGCATAGAAAGGTACACCAAACCAAACCAAACTCTCTGCCATCCAGTCAGTTTGACTCATAGCGACCCCCCCTTGGGTTTCTGCAGAGGTATCTCTACGGAAGTAGATTGCTCAATCTTCCTTCTGAGGACTGGCTGGTGGGTTTGAACCACCAGCCTTCTAGTTAGCAGTCAAATGCCTTAGGCACTATGCCACCAGAGCTCCCTGAAAGGTACACAGTACACTATATAACTGGACTAACTCATGCTAGATACAAACCATACCTAACCGTTTGGATTTATGTACAAATTTGCCCTAAAGATAGACTTAGAAATGGAACTCCTTCATAATTCGGGGACTGCCTGTACTTTGTTCTTAGGAAACACTAAGCGCTGTGTTAATTAATGACAGTCAGTGTTAATGTTTACCAAGTTCACGGGCCAGCCCGGTCTGGTAACCTGGTGCCAGTATGACCCTAGTACCTGGCTTAACCTCAGTTGCATCCTGCACACTGAAGAGCTGAGTGCCTCTTCCTTCAACTCCACCAGGGCTCATCCTCCTACCTGTGGCCTTTCAGATACCTCTAGCCAGGTGAACCTCTTTCTCTGCACTTCCTCATGACACACCCTGCAGTCTGACTTGGTCGTGGCTGCACGTGTACCACGATGGAAATGATACAGAGAGACTGGGATCAGCACGGTTCCTGTGTGAGGGACATGCTGGGTCCAGCATTCTCTGTTTTTCTGCAGCCGTTACTGGGTTAGTGGCCACAAACCTGAGTTCTGCTTCCAAAGGCCGTCTAGGGCCAGAGCTACCATTGGGTAACTTCCTAAGTTCAGGTAAATTACTTTACCTCAGTGTCCACGTCTATAAAATGGGGCTTGTTATTAGGATCAGATAAGATAATGCATAATAAGTACTTAGCATGACACACTGTCACACCTTAGTAGACCTTTGCTACTGATGCTGTACCTTCTTTAACACTCACAGGATTGTATGAAGTAGACATCATCACTCTACAGATTAAAAGAATAATAAGTAAAACAAGCCCACCATTGCTGCTGTTGTTGGGTGACGGCCAGTCAGTTGCCACTCACAGTGACCCTATGTGATGGAGCAGGACTGCCCCCATAGGATCTTCTAGGTTGTAATCTTTATGGAAGCAGATTGCCAGGTCTTTCTCCTGCAGAGCCCCTGGGTGGGCTTGAACGGCCAACCTTTTGGTGACCAGCTGAGTGTGTAACTATTGTGTCAGCAGGACTCCTCAAAGTGAGGGTAAAATCTATGTAAGTAACCTAAAGTAGTGAGACAAATGGAGAAAAGACTGAAGTTGTCAGGGATTTCATTTTACTTGGATTCACGATTGACACCCGGGAAAGCAGCAGTCAAGAAATCAGATGTCATGTTGCACTGGGAAAATATGCTGCAAAAGAACTCTTGAAAGTGTTGAAGAGCAAAGATGTCACTCTGAAGACTAAGGTGCGTCTGACCCAAGTCATGGTATTTTCAATCACCTTCAAATGCATGTGAAAGTCTGATGATGAACAAGGAATAAGAAGAGTTGATGCCTTTGAATTGTGGTGTTGGCAAAGACTACTGAGAATACCATGGACTGCCAGAAGAATGAACAAATCTGTCCTGGAAGAAGTGCAGCCGGAATGCTCCTTGGAAGTGGGAATGGCCAGACTTCATCTCACCTACTTTGGTCATGCTGCTAGAAGGGACCATTTGCTGGAGAAGGATGTCATGCTTGGTAAAGTGGAGGGTCAGCGAAAGAGGGGGAAGGCCCCCAACTGGATGGACTGACACAGCGGCTGCAACAAGGGGCTCCAGCACAGAAGGACTGTGAGGCTGGCGCAGGACGGACGGGGTCTCGTTCTGTTACACGGGGTCGCTGAGAGTCGGAGCTAACTCGACAGCACCAGACAACAACAACCACAAGCCAATGAGAGATCCCAGGAAGGCCAGGATTTGAGCTCCAGTTGGTCTGATGCTGAGCCCATGATCTTGACCTCTGCCCTAAGGCCTCACCTGGGCTTTATGATCCAATCAGGACCAGGGTCACCTCATCCCCAAGGCAGAGAAGTGAGGAAGCAGAGCAAAATCATGAGATGGGTCATGTCCCTCTATTTCTGGAGATGACATGAGTCCTAACTATGCTTCACAGATGCCATTAAACACCAGCAAAACCCCAGGTGTCACTCCAAGAGACACCCTGTCTTTGAAATGGCTGCTCATTCAAACAAGTCCATTTGGGCCAGTGGGGACATTTGCTGGCCTCCCCTCCCTAGAGCAAGACAGCCCTGGGTCTGTAGCTGTTAAACTCAAGCAAAGCAACAGACCTCTTTCATTTCCGTTAGTTATTTATCTGATTACTGCCTGCTATACAGAAGGTCTGAGGTAGTTACAAAGACAAAGACATTGAGGTCCCTGGGTGGCACAGTCTGCACTTGGCTGGCAACCAAAAGGTTGGCGGTTCAAACCCGCCCAGTGGCACCGTGGAAGAAAAAGCCTGGCAATTAGCTTCTGTACAGATTACAGCCAAGAAAACCCTGTGGAGTTCATCTGTTCTGTGCCACAGGGGGTCTCCATAAGTCACAAAAACAGCAACTGCAAAAGGACAAAGACAATGAAATTGGGATCAAGAGCTGGAAAAAGACAAGGGCGGCAAATGTCACACCAGCCCTGGGCCAGTGACTAAATGAGGATGCGGGGAGGGGCTGGAGAGCACGCCCCACCCCCAGGAAGCATGTGCTCCCACCTCCATTGGCTGCTGCCTGGAGGGTGTGCACACCCAGGTGGCCAGACCTGGCTTCTCAAAAGATGTAGAAATGCAGAGTTTCTTGTTTACAAACGTGAAACGAACTCAATTTTTAACAAACTTCCGGTTTGAATCTATGAGGTTAGAAATCAGGCAGTGGTATTCCTTGGAGGGGTAGTGACAACTAGGAGGGGCCCCGAGAGTGGCTGCTGGGGGCTAGGTGCGTCCTGTGTCTTGATCTGGGTGCCGTTACCCGGGTGTGTGCGGCTGGTGAGTTTCACAGAGCCTCTGTGCCTTTCTAGTCTGAGAGAAATAAACACTCACAATGTGAAAACAACTGCAGAGTGGCCAGGGCACGTCCCTAGCCTGGATCCGGCCTGTGGGGCACCGGTTACAACTTTTGAAACAAGAGAGCTGTTGGTGCAGACAGGCAGATCCTGAGGACCGGGAACAATTAAGGTGGAGTCAGGAATCTGATTTGAGCTTCCCAGCAGCCAAAGCAAAACAGGCAACAGAAAATGAAATCGCTGATGTGCAATGTGGGAGTCACTGGGTGGTGCAAACGGTTAGGTATTACACTCTGCTGCTAACCAGTAGGTTGCAAGTTCAAGGTCTACTCAGAAGTGCCTTGGAAGAAAGGCCTGGCAATCTAGTTCCAAAAAAACCAGCCACTGAAAACCCCATGATGGAAAAATCATCTACAAGACACCAGAAGGTCAATAATGACCCTGAGGCAAAGATGAAAGGGTAAGGAGACAGGCAAGGGCTCCACAAATTGACCACCCCGAAGAGAATTAACAAGAAAGTCAAAACCCTGTAAAAAATGCAAACAATGTCTCTAAAAAATGTCTGTAGCAATTGTTAAATGGGAACCAAATGTGCTGCGTAAACTTTCCCCAAAAACTCAATTAAAAAACCCAACAGAACATAACACACAAAAACAAACCCTAGAGAGCCAGCTCTACCCTGACCCACACGGTGACACCACGAGTCAGAGTCGCCTCCACGGCAACCGTTGGCCGATATACTTCGCGAGGCCTAAGTGAGAGAAGGACAAACACGCGCCCAGTGCAAAGTCCCGGCCTCAGAAGACTGTCAGGGAGGGTCCTGCCCGTGAGTGGGGAGAGGGCCTTCTTGTCTGCTTTCTTGGCTCGCTGTGCTGGGAACAGAAATGTCCTCTCACCAGCTGAGCCTTCTTGGCACCAGGGCCTCCTGGTCCTGCCCAGCCCTCCTACCTCTCGCCTGGAATGTGAACCAACCTGCTGGGGCAACAAAGCCGCGGTGGTGAGCAAGGGTGCCGGCGGCGGGAGAGAGGGACTCACCGTGCATGTCCATCATCCCCGGGGAGGAGCTGTTCTCCGGAGTGGTCACCTCTGAGCCACACTTCTCGTCCTTGCTCTTCTTCTTGTTCTTATTTTTCTGCAGAAGGTGGAGCAAGAACCAAGTCAATGAACCATGCGTGCGTGAGTCCCTGGGGAGCGGTGCTGCATTCCACTGGTTCATCTTGGACCCCTGAGAATTCTGGAGGGTTCTACGGCCTGTGTGTGCCCGTATCCCATGAGGGCTGTGCTCTGAGCCTCACCCGCTTTGGGGTCAAAGGGCCCACAGAGGGGAGGGTCATGGGGCTGTGCTGGGTAGCTATGCCAGCTCCACACCCTGGAAAGGACGCCAACTTGATTTGGGGGACCGCCCCAGCATGTGTGCACTGGCTAGGGGAATTTCCTCTTTCTCAAGGGAGTGTGTTGGGGGAAGAGGCTGCTTGGTCACCTGGAGCAGGCACAACCTGATGCCAGGTAAGTCACAGGAGACACGTCACAGCTCGCCATGCCCAGCCCCTGAGGCCATGTTTCTCTAAGTGTGGACAGTGGACTTCCAGCTTCAAACTGGACGACCAGATGGAGGGAAACCCCGGGAAGCAGGGAGGTGAGGGGGCCCTTGATTTATGGGCAGTTCTGGTGTTCACAGTAAGAACAGATTTGAGTTGGAAATAACCTAACTTGCCCATCGGTAGACGACTCAGTCAATAAATCAGTCTATTGATCCAATGTAACGTGATGCAACAGTTACAAAGGATAAGGCAACTCCGTCCGTCATACACTAACTTGGGAAGATGGTCCTCCAAGATAGTGAAATGCTTCTGTATCTACTGATGCCCAAAGGAAAGGTACAGAACAGATGAGCCAAATACCGTTAATAGTAAAGGAAAAGATACACATGTATATGTTATGTGTCTGCGTGCCTATCTGTGTGTCTGTGCCTGTCTGTATCTGCCCATGCCTGTCTCACTGTGGGTTGGTTTGCATGTGTGTCTGTGTGCCTGTGTGCATGCACACTTTCTAGAAGGATAAATAAACACTGGTAACTCCAATTACCTCCAGGGAGGAGAAGGGGGAAAGCAGACTCATTTATACAAAGATGTGTGGTAAAAAACTAATGTTTGATGAACAAGCAAATCCAAGGAGACTGAAAATAGGTAAGTGGTTGCCAGGGACTGGGCGGGGGTAGGGGAAGGAGGGAAGAGGGTGACTGCTAACAGGGACGGTGTTCCTTTTGAGGTGATGAAAATGTTCTAAAAGTAACAGCAGTGAAGGGCTGCACAACTAAATCATACTCAAAATCACCGAGCTGTGTACCTATGAAAGGAGCTCTGGTGGCATCGTGGGTAAGGAATCTGGTTGCTAATCAGAAGGTTGGTGGTTCAAACACACCTGCTGCTCTGAGGCCATTTACTTTCTTAAAGATTCACAGCCTTGGAAACCCAATGGGGATTGCTATGAGTTGGAATCGACTGATGACAGTGTGTTTGGGTTTGGGTTTGGTATATTTATAAAACGGTGGATTTTCTGGTACGTGAATTACGTGTTAAATAAAAAAAAAAAAATCGTACAGTAACATGAATTTTGTAACCTGTTTTCCTACTTAAAAGAATAAAATCTTCAAAAGCGTTCTGAAAAAAGAAAGTATAACCACGTATTAATTGGGTGCTTATGAAAATAAAAAGCTATCCCTCTATAACACACCTTCCTGGCCACAAGGACCAGAGATTTGGAAGCAGCAGTCCAGGGTGGGGCCCAGGAATCTGCATTTTATCACAATTCCCAGGGGATGGGATACTGAGTCAGGCGTGGGGACTATCACTCTTTTTCATTCGTTTATGTTGTTGAAAAGAACATTCACAGTAAACCATCCACTGCTTCAGCAATTACCATGTGTTCAATTTAGGGACACTGGTTCCAATCTTCAAGCTGTGCAACCATTCTCATCTTCCTTTTCTGAGCTGGTCCTCTCCCATTAACATGAACTCACTGCCCCTCAAGGTCCCTCTCTGATCCTTCCAGTTGCTGCTGTCACGTTGACCCGTATACCAAAAACCAAACCCACTGCCACTGAGTCAATTCCGACTTATAACGAACCCCCTTTGGGTTTCCGAGGCGATACATCTTTATGGAAGCAGATGGCCCCATCTTCCTTCCATGGAGTGGCTGGTGGGTTTGAACCGCCAACCTCCTGGTTAGCAGTCAAATGCCTTAGGCTCTACGCCACCAGAGCTCCTTTGATGCCGCACAGATTGACCTTAAGTGCAGAGGGCTCAAGGCAGACATCCTTCACTATTAAGCTCAACTAGTGTATGGTTGCAAAACTTCAGGAGACATTTTTGGCTTAAGGTTTAAAGATGATCTCAGAGCATCATTTTGGGGTTCATGCAGCCTCCCGGCTCCAGAAGGGAACTACCACCCTTGTGGGAAGAGGGGTGGGCAAAGGGTGCTCAGAGAGGAAGCGAGAAGGCACACTTCTGGGGTTCCCAGTGTTGAACACCCTTATGCTGCATTGCCTTTGGCCTGCCTCAGAAAGCCCCAGGGGCCCATTCTTACCGCTCCCCTGCACAACAGCGGGGGCAAGAGCCCACACCCTGGACCACCCGACTACCGCCACAGGCCCACCCGAGTGTGGTCTGCCCAACCACAGCAGCCGGTCCTTCCCGACAGCCCGTGGTGTGTGCGTTCCCCTTGATCACGTTCCATTTGGCACTTTCCTGATGCCTGTTTTGTGCTATTCTATAATTATCTTCCCCCAATGAGATTATAAATTCCTCGAGAGCAGGGACCACATCTTCCCAAATGCACATAGTGTTTATGCAGCACCTGATAACATAGCAAATGCAGCAACAGGCAGGAGGCAGATGTGGCTTCGAGGAGCACGGAGTCTGACCTCCCCCTCCAGGAGGGCTGACACCAAGCGCAACAGGGACCATGCCTTTGGGGAACAGGGAGCCTGGGCCAGACCGGAAGGGGCTACAGTAAGTGCCCAGCAGACCCAAAGGTGTGGGGCAGGTCACAGAAAGAGGAGAGGGAGACAGAGCCCGCCTCTGTGGAGGAACTGTGGGCGCCCATGGTCTCTGGGCCTCACGCTGACCTCCCAGGTGTGAAAGGAGTCCTGGAGGACAAGGCTGAGACTGGGGGAGGGGGAAGGGGTCCAGGCAGCAGGAATTGGTTCTGGGTGGGACTGCTCTAGGTTCTGACTGGGAATGAGGGCAGCTGATTCAGCATTTTGGGGAGGTCACAGGCTGGGTGCCACGAGGTTGAAAACTTATCTGTGATATGGGGCTACTGGCTACCCGACAAGGCTTCCTGAGACCAATCATGGCCACTGGAGTGCCCTCTAGTGGTTGTGGTAGGGATGGTGCCCACCCATCCTGGAGCTCCCCTGACAGAACCCCACAGTAGCCCCCGCATCTCTGCACGACTCTCAATCCAGGGGCCACGTCCTCATCATTGGCTCCAACCACTACAAGGCTCTCAGAAGGTAGAAAGAACACGCACTTTGGAGTTGGGCAGCCTGAGCTCAGTTTTGACACTGCTGTGTGCCTTTGGGTAAATGGCTCCGCCTCTCTGAGCCTCTTTCCTCGTTTGTACAGAGGGACTAAAGACGTTAACTCCACAGACTCGGGATGAGACATACATGAGGTTATTCATTTAGCCTGAAAACGATACAGTGCCCAGAACAGGAGCTACATGGTGGGGAAGGGGCTTGTCCATCTTTCGGGACCACAATGAATGCCTCCCCTCAAGCTATGGAGGCCAGGGCCCTAGGGGGCACCTCTGTTCTCAAGGTGTATCCCACTGGCAAACTGTGGATGCTCAGCCCAGAGGTGGTGACTCGCAGGGTATACTGTTCACCTCTCTGAGTCAAACTCTGGCAGCTCTGAGGGTGGAGGTGGGGACCCTGAGCTGGGTCCTTAGGACGCTCAGCTGGCCTCGGCCCCAGGGATCTGGTGGCAGGCAGCAAACAACCCCGCATACTCACCTCGTCAACCTTGGGCTCCGTCACAGGGACCCACTTGTAGATCCGTAGGGATGTATCGCCCACAGTCACCCACTTCTTCTCCCTATGGAGGACAAGGAGGGCTCATCAGTGGGCCGAGGGTGTGAGGAAGGACCCAGGGGGTGAGGGGTATGGGCCACACCCACTGGGGCAGCTGGGAGTTCGTGGCTCCCTGGCCCAGAGTTGGAAGCACGTCGTGGAGCCACGCAGAGGTGGGCCCGAATCCCAGCCCTGCTGCTCACAAGCCGGGAGCCCATGGGTGACACCAACCCGGGCCTCAGTTCCCCATCCGTTAAACCACACCGTGGTGGTCTGCCTCCCGGGGCTGTCAGGAGGGATGTGCGAGACAACATGCGTCAAGGGGCACCCACAGTGCCCCACTGGTGGGGAATACTGATGACAGGGGGAAGCTACCACTGCAATCACTCCTGGGGACAAAAGGGATCAGGCCTGGCCTGGCCTTTCACCCCGTGTCACCACCAGCTCCTCGCATCAGCGCTCGCCCCCAGGCAGTGCAGGGCCTCAGGCTGGCCTGGGCTTTCCCTCCTGGGGCAGCCAGGTGGGGGTCCCACCGCGGCCACCAGCGGCTTGCCCTCCTGGCTGTGCCTCTGAAGTCGAGGGAGAAGGAGCCAGAGCCGATGAGTGGGTGCAATCACCCTCTCTCCTGGACCAGCACCCTTTGGAAGCAGCCAAGGGGAGACTGAGAATGCGAGGCAGGGTACAACCCGACACTCAGTGTGGCCCCAGGGGGTGACTCAGAAGGGAAGCACTGCCCAGACCTGGGCAGCAGCCTGAGGCCGAGACGGGTCAGCAGAAGGCGCCACGGCCCTGCTCCGTTCGCAGTTGCCACGGTCTCGGCCGCACGTGTCTCTGCCGTGCCCCACCCTTGGCCTTGGCCCTGGCAGCCCCCACCCACTGCTAGTGGCAGGTTAGGTTATGGATGTGAGCAGGAGACGCACCAGACAGCAAGGCCCATCACCCCGTCGTCCACCACCTCTCTGGGGCGAGTCTTCGTCACGTTCTAGGTTACTGCTACCGCGGCCAGTTTCCATCCTTGACCCCGTCTACAAGCCGTGTGACTTCCTGCCCCACACGCTTCGGTGGCTCCATATCCCCCGGAGAGCCAGAGCCAAACAAGACACCAAGGCTCAGAGAGACAGAAAGCCGGGATTCGAACCCACGCTGCTGGGGCCCCAGAGCCCAGGCTCCCAATGTGAGGCCTGCAGCCTCAGGAGTCCTGGTAGACCACCTGTGCCCCCCTCGGTGAGGAAACCAGCTGATTGGAGAGATCCCCAATGGGCGTCGAGGCCAGAAGCACGCCGGGCACAGGTGAGACTTCAGATTCAGTGGTAATGGTGCCACCAGAACCGAGAACTGAGAGTGCGTGTGGTCTCAGCACCCCGACTGGTGGGCTGCCGGGACCTCCTTCGGCCGGGGGGCCCAGCCAGGACTGTGGTGTGTGGCTTATACCCACCAGCACCCCTTCACCACAGACGGCTCTGGGTGCACAAACACAACGAAAACCAGCTAACCCCAACCACAGACACCTCCACCCCCAACACTCCCTCCGCCCAATTGGGTACCTACAGATTTATTATTACCCTACTAGTGACCATTTCAGCAGGAACCCTTGCTGATGGTTTGAACCACCTAGCACACCCTAGAAAACCCTCGGGGCACCTCTACTCTCTCACAGGGGTCACCGTGAGTCAAAAGTTGACTCCACGACACCTGACAGCGACAGTGGCCATTTCTAGTACCGTCTATGTGCTAAGCACTGTCCATAAACCAAAAAACCCACAAACCTGTTGCTGTCAAATCAGACCCAACTCACAGAGACCCCGTGTGATTCGGAGCAGAGCTGGGCCCTATGGGGTTTTCGATGGCTGTGGTGTTTCAGAAACACCTCATCAGGACTTTTCCTCTGGTTGGATTTGAACCACCAACATTTTGGTTAGCAGCCAAACACTTAACCATTTGCACCACTCAGGGGCTGCAGAAGCACTGCACGTACTGTTTCTCTAATCGTTACATCACCTTGCCCAACAGGAAGCGTCACCCCCCCCCCGGACAGAGAGAGAAACTGAGGCACGGGGAGGTGAAGTTTCTCCCCTGAGTTGGCATTCAAGCCCTTGGAGTCACACAGCTTGTAGGAGCAGCCTCTCCTGGCCGCTCCCTACCAACCCAGAAAGGATAAAACAGGCGTTACCACCTGCCCAGCTCCTACCTCAGGGGCAGGGTGGCGATCCACCCCAACTTCTCACCACCTCCACCCCAAATAACATAAGGGTGCCTGGAAGGGAAGAGGATGCCCTAGGGAGAGTCTTGGTGACAAGTAAAACAACAATTATAAAAGCCACCTGGTACCCGGGCCAGGCTTGGTGCTAACGCTTTGCTTACATGTCCTCCCCGCCCCCAAGATGTCCAACACACTACAAGAGGGGGACCACTGTTATCCCATTCTATATCAAGAGTCATGGGAGGCCCAGAGAGGTCAGGCCACTTGCTCATGGTCACACAGCTAGTAAATGGCAGAACCAGGATTAGACACAGATTGTTGGACCAACCCAGCACTTCAGCACTGTGGTAGTTCAGTTGTATGCCAGCTTGGCTGGGCCTGGTTGAGTGGCTGGGCTGTTGGATGCAGTATTCCCCATGATGAGACTAGTCATCACCTCCATGGTGGGATCTACTGGAGCGGCTGAGTAGCTGCCTTAGGGATGTGATCTGCTTCCAGTGTATAAGGAGAAGCTTTGAGGAAGGGGTCTAGCTTTTTGGCACTCTTGGACCCTGCATATAGCTGAGTCTTCATTCAGCAGCCTGCCAAGTTCCTGCCGATCTTGGGACTGCCTCTGAACTTGAACTAGTGGCCTGCCATGTTGTTTGATAATCTTGGGACTGTGCCATTTTATTTGTCGACCTTCGGTTTGTCAGCCTCAGCAGCCAGCAGCCGCCTGAGTTAAGAGAAGCCCCCAGAGCTGAAGATTTACATCAGGTAGAAACACTCCTTGGAGAGATCATGGGAGGACAGAAGGGCAGTGTATGCACAGGGAGACAGCTCGGGGGGCAGGAGTGCATGGAGGGAAGGGTAGAGGTAATTCTGGGGAGGAAGTGGGAGGGGAGCTGTTGCATTGTGGGAAATTGTAGTCAATGTCATGAGACAAAATATGTATCAACTGCTGTATGGAAAGTGAATTTGCTCTGTAAACTTTTACCCAAATCACAATAAAAATTGAAAAAAAAAAAAAGAGAGAGAGAAGGCTCCAGTTTCAGTGGGCTAGGAGCAAGAGGCAGAGCTAAGGCCCAAGTTGAGGGGGTTTTACTCAGCCCCTAGAGCCGGCACTTTGAACTTGGACTTCTAGCCTCCTAAACTGTAAGAGAATAAATCCCTGTTTATTGAAGTCACCAATTTGTGGTATTTTCAGTTAGAGCAGCACTAGAGGGCCAAAACAGACACCATCATGCTGTTCTGGCCGCTGGGCAAACTAAGAACCCATTCCACAGAACAATCAGTGATGAGAAGCTGACAGAATAGGAGAAATTTCTAGAATCCCAAGGAAAGCCACTCACTGCTCACAAGCCCTCAACCGGCCACCTGGGCTGTTCTCGGCCTCCAGGGCTGCTCTGGTTCGAAGGTTTGATTGTGTCAAAAAAAAAAAAAAAAAGGGAAAAAGTAATTGGCTTGCAATACACAGGACGCCTTTCAGGGCAGGAAGTGTGCCTGAGAGCTGGGTTTTGCAGGCCACACACGAGGCAGGGTTAGTATTTTTAGTTGCTATTGTTGCCCAAGGAATATTTCAGGCCACTGCAGGTCAGGAGGGGACAGCAGCCCTGCTCTCAGCCTCCCTTTGCCCCAGTTGGCAACCCTCCTGGCAGAGTCCCCAAAGTCACCCAGAGATTAAAAACTACTTTTTATCTGCATTTCCACAAGGTGGCTACAGATCTGACCCCTGGACAAAGGCCTGGCCAGCAGCCACATAGACGGACGGGGGTCATGGAGCTAAGGTGGGACCCCATGAGCAGTAGGTGACAATGAGATTTCACAGCCCGACTGGCACAGCCTCAGGAACCAGCTCCCAGGCCCAGTGGAGCAGCTACGGTTCCCCACCTGCCCCAAAACCCATCCCCCCAGGACACCGCCCATGAGGGCATGAACCTCCAGCTATGACTTCATCCCACTACAGGGCAAACAAGCAGCCCACAGGTGGGTTTTGTTTGACCTGAATATGACTTTAAAAAATTTGAATTGATTGACAAATTGAAAATAAAATAAAACCAGACTCCACATAAAAATCCACATCCCTAGCTCCCCTCAGAAAGTCCACATCCCTGGCTCCACATTCCCTGAGAAGTGACAGTCCCACCAGGTGGGGCCTGCTGTTGCCTGAGATCCCCCACCGGGAGCACAGGCCTGGCCCCATGGGTACGTGGCCACCAGGCCACACCCAGCCTTGCCAGCCTTCCCTGAAGGGGCCGCTGGGTGGGCCGGGGCCTTCCAGCTGATGGCATCTGGTAGCCTAACAGACTTCACGACCTCTCTCTTCCCCCATCAGACTTGGGCACCTGAGATGAAAGACAACATGAGGCCCCAGCTGCAGGAATACAGACCCCAAAGCTCCTCCCTGACATGGCCGCCTATAAACCACACAGACGCAGCCTGCTTTTCCAGGCAAGGCCAGTTTCCAACACAAGGTCCAAGAGCCAACCAGGGAGACCATCTTGGTCCCACCCACTCCTCCAAGGAGACCCTACTGACTCCCTCAGATGATAGTCACCTCCATGCTCGTCCTTGTCACCTGAGGAGACCTGACATGTGGCTCGTTCGTTCGTCTCAACCCAACTAGGCCCAGGCCCACTTGACCACCTCAGCCTGGCAGGAGGGTCCCTATGAAGAGACCCCCTGAGGTGCTCAGGTGAGGCCCCAGGCACCGTCCAGCCTCCCCCTTGGGGAGGCCAGGAAGTCCTTTGGGAACAGGCCTCTCAATCCTCACAGCGTGTCTCTGAGGGAAACTTTAGACTGAGGCGAGGGAGTCCCAGACACCCTTGTCGGCTCGAGACTTGGCCTCCTGTCCAATAACTCCTGCTTTCCTTCTCCACACACATGAGGCCTCCGAACCGTGGCCCAGTTTCCCAAAAGGGGCCCACCATTTTGTTTTTCCTTCCACCATCTTTGGCTGTCCCGCTTTGCTGCGGCACCAGACAGAGACGAGGAAGGGCCAGTCGCTATGGACAGAGGGCCCACGGCTGCTGGCTTTTTCCTGGAACGGGGAGTTGGGCGGTGGGGGGATGTTTCAGGAGTCACTGAGGTCAAAGAGAAGTCTCACCCTAGATTTATAGGGAAAATGGTACCTCAGATACCTCAGTCCTCCTCTAGATAAACACAGGACACTCAGTTCAATCTGAATTTCTGATCAACAATGATGGTTTTTTTTTAAGAATGTCCTAAATATTGAATGGGATATACTTACACTAATTTAAAAAAAAAAAAAATGTTGATTTGAAATTCAAATTTAACTGGCTGGCCTGTATTTTTTTTTTTTCACTTGCTAAATTTGGCAGCCTGAAATCCCAGCGTTGGTGAAATGCATGGTTAACGGCCCGCAGTTAATAAACAACCCAAAGTCTCAACCACTGACTGGAAGGCCTGTCCTAAAGACACAGTGAAGGAAGGTGGGACAGGAACTAACCCCAAACTGTAAGTCCAAGCCTTTTTTTTACCCCCTCAGAAGGGGCAAATAAAATAAAGTCAGCAAGACTTCAGAACCAGACTTCCACAAAGTCCACGTTACAACAAAATATTTAATGAGTGCTCCCGTGTGAAAGGGTGATGGTTCGAACTCACCCCGAGGCGGACAGGCCTAGTGATGTGCTTCCAAAACATCACTGCCTTGAAAAGTCTGTGGAGCGGTTGGTTCTACTCTGCACACATCTGTTTGCCACGGGACGGAATCAACGTGACCACAACAACAATGTGCTGGGCTCCCCAGCACAATAAAGAATTAGCACACTTGGTTGCCAAACCAAAGGCTGGAGGTTCGAGTCCAACCAGTGACACCTTGGAAAAAAGGACTGGCCATCAACTGAAAAATCCGGCCACTCTGGAACAGTGG